TACACCCTCTTCCTTTGTGTGTGTGTGTGTGTGTGTGTGTGTGTGTAGGAGAGAGGGGGGCACATTTGTGTTTGCCCTGAAGGCTTGCCAGCAATACAAGAACAAGTTGTTGCATGTGTACCATGGCTATAGCATGCATTCTTTCATTGAACAGTCTCTTTCATTCACATGTGACCTGAGCTGTAACTACAAATGTACTTTTTTGTAGCATATTTAATTTACTGATTAAAATGCATACACACTCTGGTTTACCAGGGGGTGTATGCATTTTATACTTACAATTCCTACAAATTGGCCAAATCATTTTGCATTCTGTTTAGAGCTGCAATAATATAAGTCAATGTATTGATTAGTTGTCAATGTAAATTATTGGCAACTTATCAAATCAAATGTTCTTCTTTTTAAGAAAAAACAAATCTTCCAATTCTCTGATTTCAACTGTGAATATTTTCTCTTATTGACAGTAAACTGATTATCTTTGGGTTGTGGACAAAACAAGAGGTTTTAAGACCTCACGTCACAATGTGTGAACTGTGATAGAATATGCTTAATTTTTCTGTATCCCAGGAGAGACTTTGAAACCCACACTAGATGCACTCTGGGATGGAAAAAAGTGATTGATTCTGTGAATTCCCGCTGGCTATTTTGGATGGGTCAAACGGATGTAGGCTATTGATCTGATCATGAGAATTCCTGTGTGTTGATGCGTGTGTCAAGTGTACACATTGACTGCCTTTACATTGTATCTGCTGGCAGCTTCTCCTCTCCTCTTACAACCCTACAGCACTCAACACTGCCTAGTAGCTTGCAGGGCTAATACAGTGCTATGGTACAGTAATAGTAGTATCACAGCTTTTTAAAGGAATATTCTGCTTACAGGCCTTGCAGGCATATTTGAATTCTAATCCAACTATATTTTTACTTCCTCCACCTTCTTATACAGCTAACAAAGATGCATCTCAAACAATGAAACAATGAATTGTCTTTTGCTCAGTCTCTGCACTCTTGCTTTTGTGCTCACTTCCTGTGTTTAGCCCTTGCTATACTTCCGTCCTGTCTTTGACTCCCATAGCGTTGAGCTGCCATGGCCAAAAAAAGTTACATCATGTGCCGCAACTTACGTTACCCTATTTAGTTAGTATAGTGTGGTAGCAGAGGCGACCTCTATTGATGATTTCAGTTGAGGCAATACAGATGATTTCTCTTTTCCTGATAGTTTAGACTCAATAAATATTAGCCTCATTAGTTGTTCTTGATACATTTATGGGTACTTCTGATAAATGGTTACTGGTCCACATAGAAAATATGTCCTCTTGCCAGCTACTCTTTAAGTTGACCTCAAACTGTTCTCTCTTCTCCTATCTGCTTTCCTTCATCTAGTGAGCAGTCATGACCGAGGCACCCCAGAAGGAATTGGTGCAAAAGGCCAAGTTGGCCGAGCAGGCTGAGCGCTATGACGACATGGCTGCTGCAATGAAGGCTGTGACAGAGGAAAACAATGAGCTGACAAACGAGGAGCGTAACCTGCTGTCGGTGGCCTACAAGAATGTGGTGGGTGCTCGCCGCTCCTCTTGGCGTGTGGTTTCCAGCATTGAGCAGAAGTCTGAGAGCAGCGAAAGGAAGAAGGCCATGGCCAAAGAGTACCGGGAAAAAATTGAGCAAGAGCTGAAAGACATCTGCCGAGACGTGCTGGTGAGATAACATTTCATTAGACATTGCTGGCTTCATCTGTTAAAATAATGTCGTTTACAGCTTTATGAAGATGTGACAGGACTGTTATAGACGAACCAAATAGTGTTACAGAAATAAAAAGAGAGCAAAGGACAGAGATGGAAACAGCGATGTAACCTTGTTGCTGCATTTTTATGGAGTCACAACCTCACTCCCTGAGTCGTGTTATTGGCTAGAGACCACACACCCACTGGCCAAAGGTTGACGCCCAGAAACGTCCCGTACAAAGCAAGAAAATACAGGCAGAGGGCAGGGTCTATGCAGATACAGACGGGATTATTGAGAGGGATTATTTGTTTGAGCGTATACGTTGTGCTTTTTTTAGTTAGTTAGTTATAAATTCATGACCCTGAGGCCACTTTATTATATACATCCGTACAATGCAACCCAATGCTACAGCCCTGACATAACATCTATCTTTACAAAACACATAATGTTACATTTTTGGTGACAATGGTATTGTGACATATACAATCATACACAGTACAGCAGATAAATGAGTCCTCTGAATTAAAGCTGTACCTACGTTCTAAGAGCAGCCACTGTACAGCACCTGGGACGAACTCTTAAGATCTAAGCCAGTGCCGCTGTAGACCAGATTCCATAAGGTTCATACATTTGTTTAGGGGGGAGTTTCCCCCTTATTGGATTGTGACAGGAAGACACAGGCAAGAAATAGGAGAGCAGGAAAGAGAGGGGCATGACATGCAACAAAGGTCACCAACTGGAGCCACCATGAAGCCTAAGACATGCCCCCTAACCATTGGCTATCATGGCACTCCAAGGTTAGTCAATCTGACAAGTGTTCCAGATACCCCAGTGTTCAAGGCTTTCTGGGCACAGCTTCTGCTGCTTAAAGAACGCTGGCAATTCTTTTTCTTTTTTTTTACTGATATTGTAGGTTTACTAGTTTAATGGCTAGTTTGTGTTGCTGTTTATAGTTTCATATGGTCATATCAGAAATACTGTAGCCATCTGTAGGACCTCTGCTACTCTGTTCCTCTCTTAGCTTGTGCATTATCTGCCTGGTGACTCACCAGGTTCTAATCCTATAATGACAGAAGCTGAGCCACCAGCGTTATGGCTCACTGACCTCCACTTCGGCCGAACAGCCATATGGGGACCGAAATAGAGAGGGATGACTGTAAAGAGGGCAGAGGAGGAGGAGGAGGAGGAGGAGGAGGAAGGGTGTAGGACAGCAATAAGGCTGAGGTAAACTTAAAGCGAACAAGTTCTTACAAGGTGTCGTCGATCACATCTCAAGACGTTTTCCTCTTCAGAGTGGCCTCCCTCAAAAGCGGGATGAAAAGCTAGCCATCATAGAGACAAATGGTATGAATCGATTGGGAATAATGGCACATACTTTTGGACAGTCTCTTCTCCATGGTATTTATGGTATTGCACTAGGCTGTACACATGAGAAGTGACGGAGATAGTTGTGTGAAGACTTACTTTCTCACCTTAGCTAACCTGGCAGATTGCTGCGTAAAGTGGAAGTGTTTGTTGGTTTGTCAATCCAATAGTGGACATGGGTTTTTCCATCAATGTAATGTTTTGCAAAAAACACTTTTCTGGCCATTATTCAACAGGATAACTCAGGAACAGAAAGGGGAGGTTGTGACCATATTTCACATTTGGTCAGATACTGAATTGGTGACAGTAATCTTGGGTGATCACCTTGAAACTGTGGTGATTGTATAAATCTTCTGTGCTGCCAAGTTGAAGCTGTTGGTGAAGCATCCACCTTTTAGAATTTGCGCCTTCATTGCAGCAACATCCATGTTTGAGGCATAGCCTGTCAACGTTGTGTTCTATCAGAATCTGCTTTATTGGCCAAGCATGTGAACACATGGAGGAATTTGACTTTGTTTTTTGTTTCTCTCAATGAACATGCACACTAATAGACATACAATTATTTTAAAGTCTTCACTGATGTACATGTATGAACTGCTTTACCTTAATTAATCACAATATAGTTACCTGACTTTTTTCTACACAAAGAAACCTTAACAGTCCAAGTGCATATAATCCTTAAGCAGCTACTGATCTAGACAGATATGGATGTGACTGCTCGTCAGTCATACAACCGCAAGGCAGTAAATCTAGTTGATCAGAACTGTGTGTAGTCTAACGCTAACAGTGGTGTATTAGTCTTGGTGCCCCATGCTGCTCGTGCATACTAGAGAGCATGCATATGCACGTGCACACACAACACAAGGATATGCTGCAGAAACAATATGACAACTTCTATTCAAGTGTGCAGACACCTACACATGCCCTTTCTCTGGGAATCTCTAAGTTCTATGAATGCAACAAGGTATAATCAAATAGGATGAGCAATTACTGAAAATATAAGTTTAATGTACTGTGAACATTTCTGTGTGGTTGTAGTTTGAGTTTAGCTATGCCCTTGCCAGTGGCCCAGTTCTACATTCAGATCCCAGAGGGCTTCCCTGAGCCCTCACATCAGTCTGAGAGTATACGACAAGTGCAGGCTCTTACATCAGCCTAGTTTATCCCGTTATTCCTGCAGGTAATGTACACATGCACTGTGTGATGAACAGAATCCTAGAGAAAATGAGAAAATGCTGGTCTCTGTTAGTTGTGTGAACCACTAATATCATACTTCTCTAAAGGCAGTGTTTTAATGCTCTTTGTCTCATAGCACTTAACATAGTAGATTACCAACACTTTTCAGCTAGTGGTGCATGCTTGTGTTGAGCCAAGCTGGGCTCTGTGAGTGACCTACTTCCTCAGCAAAAGCTCATCAGGAGTTCAGCAGCCTGGCTCTCTACTGTTTCTCCACCCCCACCATCTTTCAACCGTAGTCCACCCTCACTCCCCACTTTTCTGTCCAGCCCGTCTCTTTCTTCTCTGCCATGCTTTCATGTTATCCACCATCCACACAGATCTACCCCCCTTTAGTGCTCTCTGAAGCATCTGTGATGTAGCTCAGGCAAAGTCTCAGGCTCAAGCCCCGAGGCTATTGGAGGTAGCCAGCTCCTCTCTACCCTCATTTAGGTCTGTGGTGAGAAATGACACTCGTTGTTGGCTATGATGTTCATTTGAATGGGTTTAAATAATGGCCACTACTCTTGAGTGAGTAGAGAAATGATGGGTTTCTGTGGCAAATGAGTCTTGTCATAAGTGTAAAAATTGCTTTCTTCATTGATGAATTGTGTACACATTTAGTGGAAGGATGCAAATCAACTCTTTCTGCTCATATTCCTATTGTAAAACCAGCTATATACATTATAATAGTTGACAGATCGTACTGAATATCTGAGAAAGTTGTCTTTTTTTTTTTGTCTGTTTTCTGCCACAGGGTCTCCTGGATACTTATCTCATTCCCAAGGCTGTTGCAGCAGAGAGCAAAGTCTTCTATTTGAAAATGAAAGGAGATTACTTCCGCTACTTGGCTGAGGTGGCTACAGAAGAGGAGAAGACAGGTAAGCTCTATGTTAAGTCCCTTTTTATACCGTTCGTGTGTGTGTTTGTGTGTGTGTGTGTGTTCGTGTGTGTGTGTGTGTTCGTGTGTGTGTGTGTGTGTTCTGCTGGATTGTAAGAACAGATATCTACAACTTCTAGCCTAGCCAAATGAGACGTATTAGACAAGATCCTATTAAATGAACACTTAAGTATTGGGATAAGCCTTACGACATTGGCTCCTCAATGCTGAATGCAGCAGTATCACAGTATGCTCCTCTTGCAATAAGAACCGTAGGATAAATGTACTTGAAATCTAACTCTTCCTGTTGGTGTTGACTATTTACTGGACTTAAGGAGGCAATTATTAATTAATCCAATAAAAACAAACTGTCAGGCTTTAAAGGCCTCAGTCAGTCTTGGGCTAGTCTCTGGCAATGACCATCTTAAGCCCATATGAATATTCAGTTTCGGGGTGTTTGATTTTCATTTAATTTGTAGACAAAGCACCTCATGACTTCCAGATCTCTCCCTCTGTTTCAGTTTCATTCTCAGTCTCTTAACCAATTTGCCCCCTAGTGGCTGTTAAAAGACATGTCTGTGCCTGTGAATCTAAGACTAAGCATTACCTTTCACTGGTCTCCTCTCTAAAGCTACGAACCTCTGATGCAAGACATCTGCAGCTTTTTGTATTTTACTGATTTCATCTCTTTCTAACAAGACCCAAAGGGTTGCAAGATAGATCTGAGTGTTCCTGAGAAAAAAAGAAAAAATTGGCCACACAGTTGTTTTTTTTGGTTTTCCATAATATTTTGTTCACTGCTCACATCTCATTAACATGTTTTGTTTCACTAACATTGTTTTAATGGTTTGCAAAACCAAAAATGTAGGGAAACCTCTCCAGTAAGACAAAGAGAATTCGTAGAGAAAATTGTAAGGCAATGAGGTTCCGTACTGGGCGGTTTCAGCCCTCTACCTCTTTCCACGATCATTTACAAAATGACTGCCACAGGATGTTTGACCTGGGGTAAGGAAAGGCTTCCCTCTCTGTTTCAGCTTTCCCCCAAGACCTTGATACAATGCCACAAGACAACTAAAGGAACATATGACATAGTGGAAGTTTGTCTGTTGAATTTGCTGATGTTGCCTTTTATTCATCTGTGCACTTAGCAATACAGGGAGTGTGCTGTAGTTTCAATTTACTAAAACAACAGTATAAATCTCAATTTAGGTATTTTCCTTTAACTTGCAGAGTTTGTAGTCTACATAATTGGGCATGAATGTCTTGAAAGGGCATTTTGTCTTTGTCTTTTGTTAGTCTGTATGCAGAGTGTAAAAACTACAAGCCTCCTCCCTGGTGCTCTACACTCAACCGAAACTGAATAAACAGGCTTGTGCTAATACCACAGAGAAACCTACTAAGTTACCTTATTGTTCAAAGTGTTTGTAACATCCCGATTCAACTTTATCTTCCTTCCACTGATTATAAATTGGATGGGCAGTTTAATGCAATTAAATTCAAATGCCCCATAAACTAAAGTCTTAAATGACTGT